TAAGTGTTTCCCATAATCTCTTCGCCGACGTCTCATTCATCACATCATAAATAAGATCCAGCGTCAAGCATGACCGAATAACTCAACAAGCCCTACTGTTCATCTTTTTCCAAACATTGTCTTCCATGTATTCAGGTTTCTCCTGTAACTCAAGAGTCTCCTCCAAATTCTGTGCATCCAATGCATCCTTCACATGGCACAATTCGAAATTAATCTTGCCATCAAACTTCGGAACATTAATCTTCGTATTATTGATGCTCAGACTCTATATCGCCTTCGTAAGAGACGAACCTGATGTGCTTCCTTCACTCATGTTGTAGATCTAACTCTTCAAATAGAAATCCTTCAGTGAATCCTTCGAACAAGCCCCAATTCAAACCTGAAACTCTGATACCACTTGTTGTGTGCAGTGGGTGCTCGAAAGCCAAATAGTGCACGAACAAGAACAAGATAAATCACAACCACACAAGCAAAAACACAATCACCACAGTAAGACAACGAATTTTATGTTTCAGCAAGTTGCCTATGTCCATGGGGCAAGGAGGGGAGAGTTTTTACTATTAGAGATGAAGAGAATACAAAATAGGGTTACAAAATCACTCAAAACCCTAAAACCAAGCTCTCTAAATCTCTCACAAATCTCCCACAATAAGATGCAACAATTCTCTCTCTCAAAAGCTGCTCAAAAACGTCTTTACTTAAACCCTAGAAGTCAACATATTCCTATTTATATCAAACCCAAGCAGAATGCAAACATGAATCCTAATACAGCCTGAAAACAGCCCGTAAGTCGACTTAATAGAGGGCACAAGTCGACTTACCATAAGTCGACTTAACAGTCACCATAAGTCGACTTGACTGAGCGCAAAACAATAACTAGAGAACAGAACGCAAGTCGACTTATCAGTCTCAATAAGTAGACCTGACAGAGACGAAACTGGCAACTGGAGGGCAAAACATAAGTCGACTCGTGTACGGACATAAGTCGACTTGTCTTAAGTCGACTTATGCCTGTGCATGAGTCGACTTATGACGAAAAACCCAGTTTTTCTGCTTTCTTTCTTGAGTTCTCCACAGAAGTATTATCTTATTATATTATCCTATTAAAGTTCATCTTATTGTTATATTACAATCATTTTATAATTGATTTATAAATTGGTTTATATGGAAATTGCTATTTATTGAGTTGTGGCTAGCTCTAAAAAATGGTATTTAACGCGTAATATTTTCTCGGCCATATAGATGTCTTTTAGCAATTTGCAATTGAACGTTAATAATTTTTAAAATCTCAATAAACCGTAATAATTTTTCTTTCCTCGGATAGATGACCAAATGGTTAATTTTGTTTTTCCCCGTTTTCTATGTCACTTTCTTAGCTTCAAGTGCTTATCTATACTATCTTAACGTTCATGAATGTAGTCATCAGTCGAGCTAATTGCTAAGCTTGAGGCAAGAGAGATTATGTTATATAATTCACATGGATTTTATTACATTAGAAATGGATAATGCTCTCGTGGTTATTACAACTGGTAATATTAATGAAATGTAATCATAATAGTATATTGACGCTGATATAATTCAAGCTCTTGGTAATTTTGTATTCAGCCTCTACTTATCAACATCAGCGTGGTTAAAACTAGGCTAAATTGCACTTAAATGGCCCATAGTTTCACCAATCATGTATTTATGTGACTGCTATTTTCAAACCGACCAAATAAATACCCCATGTATTTAAATCTTACAGATAAATGCCTGAAGTTTTAAAATACTATACTTTGATGCCCTCTTGTTTACTTAATGTTGCAGGTTGTTGCCCTTTTGCTTACCCAATATTGTTTATAAATACATACAGTCTGTAAATAACCTCTCTTTAACGCCCTAATGTTTCTAAAATTTACACTTTAGTACCTTGTGTTATATGATATTCTTGGATATGTAGAGAAATGTTTACACCATCTGGGGTTTTTTTTAAGTTCGGAATAGTGATCTGCAATATTTAAATATTTTAGGGTATTTATTTGCTCGGTCTTAAAATAGGGCTCATTTAAGTGAAATGTTAGTGAAACTACATGGCGTTTAAGTGCAACTTAGCCTTAAAACNAAATTGGGGGGGGGGGGTATTCATTGGGGTAATTGGGGGTAAATTGGGGGTAAATTGGGTTAAATTGTTCCAATGGGGTAATTTTACCCAATGAGATAATTTGAGTGGGATAAAGTGGGGTAAAATAGGGTAATGGGACAATTTGAGCGAGACAATTGGTATGACATCTTTTTATAATATTATATTTATAGCTCAATTAAGTTCAAGTTTAACTTGATATAACATCAAATGATTAAATAAATAATAGTTATAATATACAATAATATTATTTTTATGATTATTTTAATATAAAATATTAAAAATGATATAATAATAATAATATTATTAATATTAATCAATCTTTAAATATTTTGATGTTTATTTTAACTATTATGCTATATTAATAAATTTTTAATTGCAATAATTATTTAATCATTCATACATCTATTACAATGATGATGATAAAGTCTCAATTATAACAAATAAAGTCTCAGTCGGTAACTTAAATCTTAATTATTATAAATATAATCTACCGGCATATAACTTTGCTCTAGACTCCTTGGGTTACGTTTGTCCCATCCTCCCACATTGTGTTTGCCATTTGTTCTCTTCAACGTGATGCAACTATCCTTTGTGCTTGTTGAGTTTGTAGGTCATCGTCCTCATCAGAATCACCATCAATCGGAGCAACATTGCGTGGTGCCTCCGGAGGAAGATCAAAAACTTCAAAGTCATCGTTGGAGATCTCCATCTTCAGAAAATTATGCAGACCGATACATGCCCAGATCATACTTTTTTGAGTCTCATATGGAAAACCTGGAGGTTGAGACTTAAAAATAGTAAACCTAGACTTAAAAATGCCAAAAATACGTTCAATACAATTTCTAAGTGATGCATGTCGATGGTTGAATAACTCATGAGCATTGCGTGGTCGCTGACGGTTGTTAGATGAGCCAAACTCTTTAAGGTGGTACCTCGTACCCCGATAGGGAGCTAAAAATTGTAGCCTATTTGGGTAACCACAATCAACTAGATAAAATTTACCTGCATTAACATTTCTTTAGAATTATAATCAATAAATATAAAATCTAACAGTTTGATAAAAAAAAAATTTACCATTTGGAAGTGGAAGACTGCATGCACTTCTACTCATTGCATCCTTCAAGACCCGTGAATCATTGGCAGATCCCTCCCATCCCACTAAGACATAAATAAACCTAAGATCAAATGTGCATGCTGTAAGAATATTTTGAGAAAGATAGCCATGTCTATTACGATATGGAGTTTGGTCCTCGCCATACACCATACATGGAACGATATGGAGTTTGGTCCTCGCCATACACCATACATGGAATGTGGGTCCCGTCAATAGCACCGATACAATCCTATATATTCCCATTAACATATATGAAATGTGACTTTAAAATTATAATAATAACAATGAATGAAGACTTATATAGTGTATTTAAATTTCAATACCTTGAAATAAGACCAAAAACGAGATTCGGATGTGACCTTTTCCGATGGATCGGTAGGAGGAGAGCCATCATACAAGGGGCTAATGACACAAGGGCCTGTAGGGCCTTATTGAAACAAACACTGACGGCAAATCGGGATCGATCAAACCTCTCAGTGGTGATGCAATATCATTGATTTTGAGTAACAGTGAGTAGGAAAATAGCAATTATCTCCTCAACGCTGATATACCGTGTATCTTGTAAATGCCCACGTTCTCGCAAGACCATACACAATTTCATAAAGCAATCTGAATACATACGATATACTCAACGAAAATCACGTGGATTGCTCTCCATCTTAGATTTCAAATATTGAAGGCCAAGGTCCGTAATGCCATGTCTGAGTTGGGAAATGGGTAGATTTATCTCCTCTTGTGATATGAGGTGCGAGATACTCATGACTAGACCTCCTATTTGTGCAGCCATGTTGATAATGCGAATGAGGAGATAATCAACAATATCCTCATGAAATAGCAAAGTAGAGACATTCTGATTATCTTCCATCCTGTATTAATAATGAAAAAAAAATAGTAAGATTTTTAATACAAGATATTCACCAAATCACATTTATATGTTTAGAGATGAGCATATCATGCAACTATCCAAAGCATTCATAATTTTCCCATCACTACAAGAATTCCATCACACAACCAGTAATCACTATAAGAATTCCCATCACACAACCAAATTAGATATAATACAGAACATGTACATGTGCAAAATACAAAACATTCTGATTATAAATCAGAACATGTACATGTGCTTAACATCAACTCTAAAAGATAATGCAAACAACTATCCAAAAGCATTCATGTGCTTAACATAAAAAGTCCAAAAGCATATAACTAACATCTATGTTCCCAAAAGCATATAACATAAAAGTCATTAATAAGCATAGTGATTGTCGTCATTTGGAAATACTCCAGTCAGACGCCAAATCATAAACCTTCTTCTTTGATCATCATTCATCTTCACAAACATATCCTTCACGTCTTGGGAAATATTTTGACTAAGGATAGTCAATCATTCTTCATCGGTAAATTCTGGAATTGAAGCCACTCCCTCGACCCACGGTTGGTTGCGACTTCGCAACAACCTCACCTCTGTAACTAACTCTTGTAAAGCCTTACTTATAATTGTAATTCCACTCGCCATTTCTTGCACGGCGGGTTGAGACAATGCAAAGGCGGTGGTGCGGGAAGGTGCTCTACGAATATTTCTGCTAGTGCTAGAGGTCGATGGAACAGATTCAGCCACGGGAGTGGTAGGGCTTGGAGTGCAATTAGGGGGAGGTGGTGGAGGATCTACTGGTGGTTGGGTAGGTTCTGCTTCACCCATAGTATCAAGTCCAATGTCATCATCCAATATACCCTCACCCAATGCATTATGTAATGGCGCACTCTCTACCCCCCACAACCTAAGCCTCCAGCAGCTCTCCCACTAGCTGAGTGGCTACCCACCACCATCTGCATATCCTCTAAATTTTCAAACAACTTATCTTTAAGCATTGGTGTATTAGGATGAGCCTGTTAAAAAACAAAGATAACAAATTAATTTTTTCTTTTTTTATAATTAGCAAACATACAATATATTATGTAGTTAGAAACTTTGGGTAATTAAGAATCTAACCTGTTTATAATTTTCCCACACCTCAACGGAGCAAGTAATTCTCTGAGATATTGGGTCCCAACCAAACCCGGAATTATTCCTCAATAGTAATTCAATTGGTTCAATCTTCCTCTTACAACTTTTGATCTTATTCTTTACATGATCAAATTTAAAAGTTCTTCCAAATTTAGCATTCATGAATGGCAACACATTTAGTGTGATGGTATATTTCTTGAAGTTTCCATTATCCATCTTGTTGCCATTCTTCACCTCCTCCACTAAAAGCCTTAGTAGCTCTCTATTCTCTTGCTCTGACCATATTACATAGTCAAACCTAGCCTTTTTGGCCCTCTTACCATCTTGAGAGTACTCTTCAACATTTTGAGTTTCTGAAGCCAAATTCATCCTACAACGCAAATTCCAATAATGACCAAAAAAGCAAAATTCATCAAACAACGCAAAATTCATCCTACAACGCAAATATCAATAAGACTATAAGCTTGACAATCATGTGAAAGGAGATCCACTTCAGTTAATCCTAGCATGGATACATGATGATTCAAGGCAGTTTGATATATGTCAGAGCATAGCTTGTCTCTATCCTAGATATATGTCAGTTTTGTCTGTGTTCTATTAAATATCAATAAGACTATAAGCTACACAAAATTTCATGCTAGTTTTATTGATATATATCCTGGATATATATCAAGGATATATGTCAATTTAAGCACTATATCAAGGATATATGTCAATTTAACCAAAATTTCACGCATTTTTGGGATAAACCAATTTGTAGTTTGATATATGTCAGTTGGATACATGATGATTCAGTTAATCCTGGATTCAAGGCAGTTTGATTTAACAAAACAATCATGCGAAAGGAGATCCACTTCAGCTAATCCTAGCATGGATACATAATAGAACACAGACAAGGTTTATAAGTGCAATATCATGTGAAAGGTAATTTAAGCACTATTTACCCATTAAGGTTCAAGGCAGTTTGAGCAAAACTCTACAAATTTCATGCTAGTTTTGTGAAATTTGTGTATATCCCAAAAATGCGATACAGAATAAGTCCATAGGAATTCATATCCTCCACACCGACCATTGACCGCAATGGTAACTAGCAGAATAGCCATGCATCCAGGATTACCTCGCCACTGTAATATACGAAAACGACCATAAACTTCAAATACTTTTCTCTATAACAAAAGGGCTAAATGACCAAATTGGTATTTTTAGTATGACATTGGTTACAATTCCCATTTCAGATGTATTGATGCTTCACACAAGGCACATATTGTTGGAACATGAACATTAAGCTATCTCAAAAATTAAATGAACATGAATATTAAGACCATTTTTCTCAAAAAAATGAACAATATTTCAGATCAACTTATAGAACTGAGATATAATTGAAGGCCAAGGTACCTGGGTTGGGTAGGTTGAGGCGGTGGTGCGGAGGCGGCGGCGGAGGAGACTGTTTAGGGAGAAAATCGGTTTCTCCATTGAGGTACTCATTACAACTTCAGTCGTTACAATGAAAATACAAAAAGATAGTCTTTTTATAAGACTTTTACACAATGAAAATACAATTCTCATCAAACAACACATAGATCATTTATCGGTCTTCTGCTTGCATGGGATCTTAGCCTGTGACGGGGACGTTGATATCCATGGACCACCAAACGATCAGATCAGATCCGGAGCTTCGTCGATTCGCGAAGGAATCAAGAAGCCGAAGCGCTTATCTCGATAACAACGAGATAATTGCTCTTCTTAAGATTACCGTAACGGGGTAATCTTAAGGGAAGAACCGGGGTGCATATCTGACGAACTCCTCTTTTTTATGCTGAAGAATCCACTGAAGTCTCCTCCTCCTCTCTGAAATTCGTGGCTCTTCAGTCCTCAATTCGGCAGGGCTTCGCTAACGCTCGAGAATTCCAGATCTCAAAAAATAAAGGCCCTGGGGCTGTATTTATAGGCTTCAGGAGCCCTGTGTTCGGATAAGAATGGCCGATTCCCTCTTATCTTCAGTTGAAACCACTTAACCACATTATCAGATCAGTTGGAGCAAATCCAGGCGGTTAACAATCGAAAAAACCGCCGAAAACAACTAAAATCAGCATTTTCGTGTTGCAGACACTTATAAGTGTCTCGGCGTGGCCGAGACACTTGGGAGTGTCTTAGCTTGGTCGATACACTTGTAAGTGTCTTGGCCAAGCCATGACACCCCGGGGTGTCTCAGTTTGGTTTTTCTTGTTTTTGGTGCGTCGAGTTTGTTTCCATCGTATGTTCGTCGTCCGGACTTGGAATTACGCGGTTCAAGATACGTTGGAAAGACGACGAGGAGATCTACAGGCTCCTATGATTGAATCATATGTGGAGTAAATGGGACACGAGGGGTGCTCCGACTTTCGTAAACAACACGAGGCTCCCGATCAGCTCTTGTTTCTGTTATTCCAAAGTTCTGTTGCTTCGTATGATCCGTCGACTCACTTCGTATATTTGTCATCGTCAAATTAGCTTTTGTGATTTGAATGGCGATGTTCATCATATTTTCTCTGTCTCGAGCCATGTGCAGGGACATATAGGTAATTTTTGATGCCTACAGATACCCCCTCCAAAGTATTTCGGTCTCGTTTCTTTTATAGACGAGCCTGCAATACTTTGGATATGATTGGTCCAACCTTTAGTCGATGAAAAAGGACATGTAGTTAGCTTTGATTCTTGACTCCTTCGATTTTTGATCTATTCGATATTTTAACGAATGGCCAAAGTTCGTCCGGCGCTGCGTTTATCGTCTGGCATTCGTCGAGATCTTGAATCAAAACCGATGAGTTGATTTTGGCTCGTATCGTCGAGTTGACTTTGAACTGACTATCTCCATCATGATATATTAACTCGTATTGACTTTCATCGCAATGCGTTGACTGGCGTTGACCTAGGGTTACGTGTTGACCGGCGTTAACCTAGGGTTTTGAATCGCCCGGCGTTGACTTTTTTTATCACAACGCATTGACTGGAGTTGACCTAGGGTTACGCGTTGACCGACGTTGACCTAGGGTTTCAGATCGCCCGACGTTAACATAGTTTATACTCGTACGTTTACTAGAGTATACACAGTTTAAGCTCCTAAGGTATTGGAGCATGACAGTCCTAACAGTTGGGGTTGCAGGACCAACTGTCAAAGCTGATTCGTCTATAGATATGGATCTTATCCCGAAGTTGTTGGATGATCGAGTCACGAGACCAGTTAATAAAGCTGGTGCGTCAATGACTTTCACACTTATAGGATTTTTGGCAAACCCTCAGCCATCAACGGATTTGATGAGCCTTTACCGACTACCGTTTGAGTCGGGCTAGCATGCAGATTGTTTAAATTTGTTGTGCATGTAACGTTGTGCTAAAAGAGTTAACTCCTTTAGTGCTACGATATTGAATACGTAGACTTCGTCTTTCTTACGGAAATAGACTACCCGGTGACTGTGTTAGACGTAGACTTAAGATTTTTGGCTAATCCTCAGCCATCAACGGATTTGACGTGCCTTTATCGATTACCGTTTGAGTCGGGCTTGCATGCGGATTGTTTAAGTCTGTTCTGCATGTGACATTGTGCTAAGAGAGTTAACTCTCTTAGTGCTATGATGTTGAATACATAGACTTCATCTTTCTAACGGGAATAAACTACCCGGCAATGCGTGTTAGGCGCTGACTTATCCCTACTTAGGCTTCGGGATAAAATTCCCCAGACTAGAATTATGGTGTCTTCTTCAATCGATGAAAGACTAAACCAGTAACGCATGTTAGGCGTTGACTTATCCCTATTTAGGATTCGCGATAAAATTACCCGCATGTGTGAAGCACGGATTTTGGTGTTATTAATAACAACCTGCCACAATATCGAATATGTGGGCTTTTGTCCTTTTTACGGTCAAGGACTAACCGGCAACGCGTGTTAGGCGCTGACTTATCCCCACTTAGGCTTCGGGATAAAATTCCCCAGACTGGAATTCTGGTGTCTTTTTCAATCGGTGAAAGACTAAAGGCTTCGGGATAAAATTCCCCAGACTGGAATTCTGGTGTCTTTTTCAATCGGTGAAAGACTAAACCGGCAGCACGTGTTAGGCGTTGACTTATCCCTACTTAGGATTTGGGATAAAATTCCCCGTGCGTGTGAAGTACGGATTTTGGTGTTATTAATAATAACCTGCCACAATGTCGAATATGTGGGCTTTTGTCCTTTTTATTGTTAAGGACTAACCGGCAACGCGTGTTAGGCGCTGACTTGTCCCTGCTTAGGCTTCGGGATAAAATTCCCTAAACTGGAATTCTGGTGTCTTTTTTAATCGGTGAAAGACTAAATCGGCAATGCGTGTTAGGCGTTGACTTATCCCTACTTAGGATTCAAGATAAAATTCCCCGCGTGTGTGAAGCACGGATTTTGGTGTTATTAATAACAACCTACTACAATGTCGAATGTGTGGGCTTTTATACTTTTTACGGTCAAGGACTAACCGACAACGCGTGTTAGGCGCCGACTTATCCCTACTTAGGTTTCGAGATAAAATTCCCCAGATTGGAATTCTGGTGTCTTCTTCAATCGGTGAAAGACTAAATCGGCAACGCGTGTTAGGCGTTGACTTATCCCTACGTAGGATTCGGGATAAAATTCCCCGTGCTTGTGAAGCACGAATTTTGGTGTTATTAATAATAACCTGCCACAATATCGAATATGTGAGTTTTTGTTCTTTTTACAGATAAGGACTAACCGACAAAGCGTGTTAGGTGCTGACTTATATCTACTTAGGCTTCAGGATGAAATTCCCCAGACTGGAATTCTGGTATCTTTTTCAATCGGGAAAGACTAAACCGGCAACACGTGTTAAGCGTTAACTCATCCCTACTTAGGATTCGGGATAAAATTCCCCACGTGTGTGAAACACGAATTTTGGTATTATTAATAACAACCTGCCACAATATCGAATATGTGAGCTTTTTTAATTTTTACGGTCAAGGACTAAACGACAACGCTTGTTAGGCGCTGAGTTATCCCTACTTAGGCTTTGGGATAAAATTCCCCAGACTAGAATTCTGGTGTCTTCTTTAATCGGTGAAAGACTAAACCGATAACGCGTATTAGGCGTTGACTTATCCTTACTTAGGAATCGGGATAAAATTCCCCACGCGTGTGAAGCACGGATTTTGGTGTTATTTATAACAACCTGCCACAATGTCGAATATGTGGGCTTTTGTCCTTTTTACGGTCAAGGACTACCCGGCAATGCGTGTTAGGCGCCGACTTATCCCTACTTAGGCTTCGAGATAAAATTGCCCAGACTAGAATTCTGCTATCTTTTTCAATCGGGGAAAGACTAAACCGACAACGCGTGTTAGGCGTTGATTTATCCCTACTTAGGATTCGGGATAAAATTCTCCGCGCGTGTGAAGCACGGATTTTGGTGTTATTAATAACAATCTGCCACAATGTCGAATATGTGGACTTTTGTCCTTTTTCGGTTAAGGACTAACCGGCAACGCGTGTTAGGCGCTGACTTATCCCTACATAGGTTTCGGGATGAAATTCCCCAGACTAGAATTCTGGTGTCTTCTTCAATCGGTGAAAGACTAAACCGGTAACACGTGTTGGGCGTTGACTTATCCCTACTTAGGATTTGGGATAAAATTCCCCGCACGTGTGAAGCACGGATTTTGGTGTTATTAATAACAACCTACCACAATGTCGAATATGTGGGCTTTTGTCCTTTTTATTGTTAAGGACTAACCGACAACGCGTGTTAGGTGCTGACTTATCCCTGCTTAGGCTTCGGGATAAAATTCCCTAGACTGGAATTCTGGTGTCTTTTTAAATCAGTGAAAGACTAAATTGGTAACGCGTGTTAGGCATTGACTTATCCCTACTTAGGATTCGGGATAAAATTCCCCACGCGTGTGAAGCACGGATTTTGGTGTTATTAATAACTGTAGGCGTATAAAACTACCTTTAGGTCCCTGAACACAGCTCGGCACGGTAATTCGACAAACCAGCGAATCATCGGGTGATGTATCTAAACACGAGCGTCAGTCCACAACACCGAAGCCAAGTGACACGCAACGAAGCGGATTAACGAGGCGACGAGGTTTACGAATCGTACGCAAGCAACGGAATGCATCCATTCGCGTGCGGAATCAAGCCAACGGTTCGGGAAGTCAACGAGTCATCCGACCGTAGAACGGATTCGAACTCGAACGCCAAGGCGGATTTACTGCCAAATCAGGATTCAGATCAACAAATCAGAGTCCAAATCAGCAATGAAACCGGAAAACGGCAAAACGGCACAATACCTGGAGGACTCGGCCAAAACCGAGCCACCTCTAGGTGGCTCGGTGGCCGAGCCACCTGTTGGAATTTTGGACGGCGAAGCTCTGCTGGATTGAAGGCTCAAAACTTAAAAAAGATTGAAGCTTTGGAACTTTGAAGACTTGCTCTTTCAGATCCGGTGCTCGGC